AAATAAATTAATTTAAAAAAAAAAACAAAAACCAAAGGGCTTCTGAAGATTTCTTCTGCCACATCCCTCCCCTCGTTGCTCAGTACAGTACAAAACTTACACCCAGCCAAAAAGAAACCATCCCTTGGGGTGCTGAATCTTAAGCTACTAACATGAGGATGGAAGAAATCATTGTTTATTCTGCCCGGTAGTGGTGCCCTTATGAGAAGTATTCCCTACTAGGAGACCATCTTTTTGCTTCATGCTTTGTAGACCTCTGTTCTTTTTCAAGTCCTGTTCTTTCACCTTCCCATAAATTATTTGAGTTCCCAAAAATCCTTTCAATAGATTTCCTTTCATTGGCTAACCAGAATTGGTCTCTGTTGCTGGCAACCATAGAACCTTGACTGAAACATTGTGCTAGGCATTGCGAGTACAGAGGTAAACAAGACAGACAAGGTTCTTGCCCTCATAAAGCTTATAAATTAGTGGAGAACATAGGTTTATGCAGCACTAAGATAAGAAACCCTAGATTAGGGAAAGTCAGTCATTGATTTCATATTCTTACGTATTTTAGACCATTCATTCATTCATTCATACACGCAATAAATATTTATGGAGTGCCTGCGAGGTGCCAGATATTATATGCATGAATTTAATCTATTTCACTTGTTTTGCTAAATCAACAGAGGTATAAGTAGGTCCTTCCTCCATTGCTCCTAGCTCCTTGTGTTCCCTAAATGCTTGAAGGTCAGGACTAGAAACTGATTAACCATAGCCTTAGCTGTTGAAGATCCAAGCCTTACCTCCCCCTACCCTTCCATTCCCAGCCTTCCCATATGCCTGGGAGCAGGGGAGATGGGCCATCACAGATGATCACTGTCACCTTTGGGACTTCTGATGAAACAGTCAGTATTAGAATCCTGGTTGGGAGTGTTCTCAAATTTACCCCAGAGAGAATTTAGTAACATCAGTGTTTGCCAGCTTGTCTGCAGGATACCCAGGGCACTGTGGAGTGCCGAAAACCAGAGTCCATGCCCTGAAGTTCCAAGAAACTATGTAAATTTGTCTACCAGCGCTTAGTAAAGCGTAGTTGCCTGCGGTGTTGAGAAAAGGAGTCCTGCCTTAACCAAGCTGCCTCTACTCTACCTGGAATACTCCACGCTCAGCCTACTAAACGCTGCACAATTTCCTGCCCATGAAGCACTTCTCTTCCATCCTAGGCTGGCTTCAATCGGTGGCAATTTCAGTGTCTATCTGGCCTCTCCAGATAAACAGTCAGCCACTGGAGGTAGTGGCCCAAGTATGCCATGTGTGACTCCCTCCACATCAGGGCTCAATAAATACTTGGAGGTTGATTGATTGTTGATTGGAAGCAGCCCAAAGAGTCGAGGGTCTCTTTTCCATAATTGCTTGGGTCTGTCTTCACACAATTGTCAGCCATTTTGTGGGTCCAGAAAGAGCAAACCAAAGCATGCCTGAAAGATGTTTAATCAATATTTTTCCTGCAGTTTCAAACTGTCGCCTAATCTGAGGAAAATTCATGTTTTACTAATTAGCGGAAATCATGAACTTTTCTATCAACTAGTGTTTCTGCTCTTGAGCGCAGGTCGTTAGAGACAGGCTGTACATTCACCACTCCAGCAGCAGCAGAACGATTGGGGTCCTAGTTCTCCCTGAAAACAAGCGCAAGCATGGGCATTTTAACAGCCAGAATGATCTCAAATATCAAAGCATTTGCAGAACATATCTATTTGTAGATTTGCTAATTATACTCAAATCTTGTTTCTAAATCTGTTTTTGTATGAAGGTGACTTAATATTGTCATTTAGAAGACACTTTGTAACATTCAAGACACCTTGGTCATCATCTGTTAGTCTCTTCCCAAATACACACACACACATATATTCACAGACTTACCTTCCCCTATAAAAAAAAAACAATGGATATGGGAGTTCCTCAGAACAAAATTTCATAGGCAAGGGGATTGACTCTGATGGTAGATATCTAGGGGCTTAAGGACCTCCCTGGAGCCCTGGTGGCACAGTGGTTAAGAATTATGGCTACTAACCAAAAGGTTGGCAGTTCAAATCTACCAGCCACTCCTTGGAAACCCTATGGGGCAGTTCTACTCTGTCCTATAGGGTCTCTATGAGTCAGAATCGACTCAACAGCAATGGTTTTTTTTTTTTAAGGGCATACCTGGGAGTCCATGAGTGGTGCAAATGGTCAGCGCATTTAGGTGCTAACCGAAAGGTTGGAGGTTCAAGTCCACCAAGAGGTACCTCGGAAGAAAGGCCTGGTTATCTACTTGAGAAAAATCAGCCATTGAAAACCCTATGAACCACAGTTCTACTCTGACCCACATGGGGTCATTGTAAGTTGGAATCAACTCAAAGGCAACTGGATTTTTTTAAAGGACCTACCAACAGTTTTTTCATGTTATGTGGGATGGTAGAGGGATAAGGAGAGTCTAAGAGCTTTGCACCAGTGACTGGTACCAGTGCTCCAGTCTATTTAGCAGCCAATGTTAAATCTTGCTTAGAGGATCCAATGTGGTATCTTTAAGGGGGTAGACATGGTGGGTGGGGCCATGAGGGGGTGAGATATGAGGGGGTGGGGGTTAGAAAAAGAAAGGAGGTACTGTGTTTCACTGTGCTAGAAAATTTACAGACCTCATCTCATTTAAGCCTCACTTCAATTATCTATGAGGAATGTACTATTATTATTACTTCCCAAGGTCACACAACAAGGAAGTGGTGGAGCTGGGGTCTGAATCCAGCTCTGCTGTCTCCACAGCCTACTGCATCATCCACACTACACAGGTATTGGGGGACTTGATTTATATTGAAAACCAGGAGTTTATTTTTCTTTCTCATTGGCAAGGTCTGATCTTCTTTATGTATTCATTTATTTATTTCTTGAAGAGGTAATATGCTCTCTCATTACAAGATTCAAAAGATACAAAGAGATATAGGATGAAAAGTAAATCATTCATCTTCCCTTACCCCCAGATACCCAGTTCCTCTTCCTGAAGGCAACCACAGATACCAGTTTCTTGTATATCCTTCCAAAATGTTCATCTCTTTACTCCTTTCTACTCAAGGACAAATGTGAGCAACCTGCCTGGCCTGGAAGCCTCAGAGACAGTATTTGGGATGGGATTAAGATGGTTTCCCATCATTCTTAGCAACAGAGCATAAAGTAGGCAAAATTCACCTTCAGTGCTCACTTTGTTGCCTTTGGGGACCCTTCTTGCCCCCATCCCCTCACTGCCCTGCTTACCCTGACCTGTTCTTTCCTCCCTAGGAAGAACCATCAACTTCAGACAATTTGTGTTCTATTACTTTCCTCAGGATCTTGCTTGCTATTCCCTGAGGGGCTGTCTTGACTGAGAAATTAATCCCCACTGAGGAATGCATGGGTGTCTGAGAATTGATGGGCTACCCTTTTCACAAAACATGTTTACATTTTAATAAAGGGCTTCAATCAAAGGGGTGACTTGAATAATGAGGATTTCAGGTGCTTTGTCATGACAGGCCAACAGGGCAGAGTTTTCTTCCAAAAGGTATGGCCTTGTGGCTCTTCCTATCTACTTTCCCTTGAGCATCAGACTGGGTGCTTTGCCACTTTGACCACCTGAAATTATTTTGCTCCCAGGGCAGTAAGGACCCTGGTTTTGACTTTTTTCTTTTAGGATATGGACACTAACTTTTTTTTTTTTTAATAATATTTTAGACGGCAATGGGTTTGGTGGGTTTTTTTTATTGTGTTTTCGATGAAGGTTTACACAGCAGTTTAGTTTCCCAGTTAACAATTTCTATACAAGTTGTTCAGTGACACTGGTTACACTCTTCACAATGCATGAACAGTCCCACTATTTCCATTCTGGTTGTTCCATTTCCATTAATCTAGTTTCCCTGCCCCGTTACATTCTTGTCTTTGTTTTAAAGTAATTGTTAACCATATGATCTCATATAGGTGATTTTTTGATGAAGCACAGTAATTATGGGTGATATTCATTATTTTTTGAGCCAATTTGTTATTTAGCTACAAGGTGACCTCAGGGGTTAGTTTTGGTTCAAGGTTTGAAGAGTATCTCAGGCAAATAGTCTCAGAGAGTCCTTCAGTTTCAACCAGTCCAATAGGTCTGGTTTTCTGTTTTTGTTTTTTTAGGAATTTGAGGGTCTGTTCCACATTTTTCTGCTATTCTATCACGGTCCATCTATTGTGGCCCTGATTAGAACGGTCGGTAGTGGTAGCCAGGCACCATCTAGTTCTTCTGGTCTCAGGGTAGATGAGGCTGTGGTTTGTGTAGACTATTTGTCCTGTAGACTAGTGTCTGACACTTACAGTTTTGAAACATAAGATCTCCAAGGTTGCAGACATTTCTCCCCTGTCATAACTATAGGTTCAAATCTTATTTAAAAGAAGAAAAAACTACATCAGCAAATAAGAGAATTATTCTGACTTTAATATTCACTAACTGCTATCTCATTCTGACCCTTCCGAATTAATACTTAGAATAGGAAGTCAGAGCAGGTTGTTTCACAAATTCAAAACTTCCCCCAATCTGGGAGGGGGGATGGTATCTCTGCTGGGAAGTATTGAAGAAATCTTTGTTCATGAATGGAATTCATTTTGATTTCCACAGGTAATATGCTTCTCCCACAGTTAGCCACAACTTCACAACTCAAGGGGTCTTCATCAAAGCCATCTGCATCAAAGGAAAAAAAGAAAACGTTTTCAGCTGTGGCATCAGGGACTTTGCACATAGTAGCAGCGTAAGAAATTTTATTGAATGAAGGAATGAATAAAGGAATTCAGAAGAAAGTGAAGGTTGCAGGGCTTTCCTTGGATAGTTTCATGTAAATTCAGGGTGAATTAATTCATCCTGACAGCAGAGTTTAGGCAATCACAAACGTAAATATATGCTTCCTGCATTGTGAATAACAGGCAATGGAATATAAGGACCTTAACCAAGGGGAGGATATTCATGGACAAATCTTGGGGGCCTCCAGGAACTGACAACACAAAATGGGAACACACACATCTATATCCCCTATGAATTTCATGTTCTTGCTCTGAAGGTTTGGCTGTTTCTCAAGCCTGAGAGTGCCTAGCAGTACAGAGGTTGTTATTTTTTCACTCTGTGCTAATGTAATTGAGCTTTTGGCCACAAGTTTGATGGCAGCATCCAGATTGCCATTTTAGAACCCATGGCCCAAGAGGCTGGGCTATCTGCCCCACTGGCACATTTGTCTGTCACAACTGACTGAACACCTCAGTGCGGGCCCCGGGCCACTTGGCTCTCCAGGTCTAATGCGTCGTACAACATTAAAATCCTGGACATGATGTTTGCTACTTCTCCTCCAAAGTACAACAGGTATGCCTCTGGACTGTGTATTTGCTAATGAAACAATATCCCCCAGGAACAGCAGGGGAGCTTCCTAACCAGCCTCAACTGTAATCTACTAAGGAGCTGGCACATGCCATACCTTCCATATGCTGTGGCTCCCCAGTACCTCCATATGAACACCAGAATATATCTGCAAGTTAGCTGGCGAGAGTTTGATGGACTCCTATGGTCAGGGAAAGGTTTTTGCATGTGAACCACTAACTTTCCCATACAGAGACGGAGAATGAGACTCCATGCGCTAGTCAACCAGTCCTAAACTAGAAAACAGTGTTGCCTCATGCCGTCCTGAAGCTGGAAGACACTTTGAAGATGATCCAGTCTAGCCCCCTCGTGCTGAAAGTAGAATGAATGTAGCTCCAAGCAGGGAAGTGATGTGCCCAAAGTCACAGACTAAGTGAGAGAGCTGGAATTGAGCCAAAAGCATTTTGACTCTAAGCTCAGTGTTTTTTTGTACACCATGCTGCTTCTAGGTAGGCTGTAGCCTTTGGAAATACAACTGTTGTTTTGAGCCAATATAGTGAAAAATACACATGAATGAGGCAGACCTACCACCAGTACTGAAAAGGTGGGAGAATGACTACAGCCAGGCCACCAAAGGTGGTCTGTGTGTATGAACTGGAGCCTACTTTGGTCTTTTAGAAAGGCAGCCATAAAAGAGAAAGAAAGAAAGACAGGCAACCAAAGTCCATAGCACCATCATCTAATTGGAAGCATGGAACTGAATCATCAAAACATTAACTCAAGTTCTTCCTCACTCTGCTTCTCTCTTTACTTTAGACCTATTCTTTCCCTCCACTTTCCCTCCCAAAACCCCATCCCTACCTCAATATCTGTGTCTGCATTTAGGAATATGACTTCTTATGGAAGGAGGTGAGAATGTAAGAATGATATGTAGTTGAGAGGGTTTTCCTGGTGTGGTGCAATGAGCTTTAGCCTGGAAGCCAGAAGACCAGAGTTCTGGCCCCAGTTCTGCTGCCGATGGGCTGAGTAACTGTCCATAAGTCATTTTTACCCCTACTTAAGTTTCCTCATCTGTAAAATTAGGGGATAAGCCTAGACAATGTCTAAGGTTTCTTTTGGTTTTAACCAAACCAAACCTGTTGCTGTTGAGTTGATTACAACTTATGGCAACCCCATGTGTTACAGAGTAGAACTGAGCTCCATAAGGTTTTCTTCGCTGTAATCTTTATGGAAGCAGATCACCAGGGCTTTCTTCCACAGCACTGGTAAGTGGGCCCAAACCACCAAACTTGCAGTTAGTGGCCAAGTGCAAGCCATTTGCACTACCCAGGGACCTTTGGTTTTAACAGTCTGTTACAAATTATTTTCGATTACCCATAAATTTTTTAACCTCCAATCTCTTCTCTCCTCCATTGGTACTAATAATTCATCAGATTTATACATATTAAGTTCACTAGGTGTCTATCCACACCTCCTCCAAGAAAGAGCCCAAGTATATACATGCACATGTGCATTTAGTTTTGAAGGGGAAGCATCTATCAAGACCAAGTACGTAGCCTCACGTTAATTCGATATCTCTGGAATATCAGTGTAGACGGCTAGCCTTTTTTTTTTTTTCCTCACCACTGGGAAAGCTTATTTCTGAAGGAGTGCCTTGTGTGCAGCCTAAAGATTTGAAAGTGGAATTAGTTGTAGTCGACTTGAGGGACGGGGTCAACAATTTGTGTTCAAAGGTTTTCCTCGACTTCTCCTGTTTATAGCCAACATTCAGCCCACATCTGCTGCTCACATCTGAAATGACATCCAAAAAGTTAAAATATAAAACTCATCAAAACTCTACAGTTAAAATGAGTGATTTTATGGTATGTAAATTGTACCTCAATAGCGCTATCAAAAGCACACTGATAAAGCTCAATGCACAGAGTGTTTACTCTGGGTACCTCTAGAAGTCAGATTTTCTATGAAGTTGTGAGAAGTAAGTTTGTACTGTAATCTGTGGTACAGATAAAGCCAACTCACTTACCAAGGATACCCTACTTTCCCTAGAGCCTGGCACAAGGGCTGGCAGGCTACTGGCATGTCCAGTGTACAGAAGAGGGATCTCTGTACTTCTTAAAGAATTTTAGAGTACAGGGACTGTCTTCCCTAAAGGTTATAGACCAGGCTTTGATTGGGACTGAGAGAAGATGCCTGAGTTGGATGGAAGAACTTTTTGACAGGTAAAAAATTAGTTTGCTGGGACTGGAGCTATTCTCAAATGAAATGCCAGTTGTAAGAGGCAATTATCAGAGTTCCCTCAACTCCCACTCTGCAGGAAGGGCCATCGGTCCACCCTGGCATCCCACTCGGCCAGGTATCTTAGGAATGCTGATAAGTTCTTTCCACCTCCACCACCACTCCTCGTTCCCATATTCATGCAACCCACTGTTGGCTACGGGCCAGAAACCAAAAAACCACCAAACCCGTTGCCATCGAGTTGATTCTGACTCATAGCGATCCTATAAGACAGAGTAGAACTGCCTCATAGGGCTTCCAAGGAGTGGCTGGTGGATTCGAACTGCTGACCTTTTGGTTAGCAGCCGAGCTCTGAACCACTGCACCACCAGGGCTCCAGAAAGTGCCTGAAATCCAGTATCTAGCACACAGTAGGCACACAATCAATATTTTTTTCATTGAATTGAGACTGAGATGACAGCCAGGACAAGCAACCCAAGGCATCTGGGCCAAAAGAGAAGATTCACTCGGTTAGAATATGGCCCAAGTCACATTCTTCATCTGACTTCATTCGTCTTAGCACAAAAGTACAAATAATTTTTATGACATGGAAACACCTTCATTTTAATGCTGATGCTGTATGAACTACAGTTAGGAGACAAGTTAATTGGATCCATTTTGTACAGAATGTAAAATTCAAAACCTTACCCAAAGTGGCATCTTACCAGAAGAGTTATCCAGTCGAAACCACTTGCAACAGAGGTGTATCTGCCACTGCTCCCGCACATTCTCCTTCATCGCACAGTGGAACACAAAAATGAGGAATCCTAAGCCAGGAAAAAAGGTCAGTTTTTTTCCGCTTCTCTCACCAGCTGTCGCCAATACCCCGACTCAGATCTGTTCTTGCCACCATCGATACCATCTCCAAGGAACCTCAGGACCACCACTGGCATTCTGATCTCATCTTTCTAGCCACCCTCCCAAAGGCAGTGATGGCAGGAAGGTCTGTATCAAGACTTTATGTCAATCACTGTTTTCCCCCTGGGCTGCTGTCTATCCTAGGGCACGAGAGATCAGGTCTGCTATGGCAGCGCCTCCAAGATGGCACCCAACTATCCCCACTTTCTGGCTTTCACACCCTGGAGTAGTCCCTGCCCACAATGCACCAATAAAATATGACAGAAGTGATGGTGTGCCACTTCCAAGATTAGGTTATAAAAAACATTGCGGCTTTCCTCTTACTCTTTCACTTGCTCGCTCTCTCTTTTGGATCACTTACTCTGGGGGAAGCCAAGTGTTTGTCTTGAAGACGCCCTAGAGTGACAGCCCTGTGGAGAGGCCCACAAGGTGAGTAGCTGAGACCTCTAGTCTACAGCCATGTGAGTGAGCTTTCTTGGAAGCAGATCCTCCAGCCCCAGTCAAGCCTTCAGAGGCCTGCAGCTCCGGCTAACAGTTTGACTACAACTTCATGAGAGACCCTGAGCCAACCAACTAAGCTGCTCCTGAATTCATGACCCTCAGAAACTGTGTTGTTGTTGTTAGGTGCTGTCGAGTCAGTTCTGACCCATAGTGACCCTATGTACAACAGAATGAAACACTGCCCAGTCCTATGCCATCCTCACAATTGTTGCTGTGTTTGAGCCCATTGTTGCAGCCACTGTATCAATCCATTTCCTTAAGGGTCTTCCTTGTTTTCACTGACCCTCTACTCTACCAAGCATGATGTCATTCTCCAGGGACTGGTCCTTCCTGATGAAAGGTCCAAAGTAAGCGAGACAAAGTCATACCATCCTTGCTTCTAAAGAGCATTCTGGTTGTATTTCTTCCAAGACAGATTTCTTCGGTTTTTTGGCAGTCCATGGTATATTCAATATTCTTCACCAACACCATAATTCAAATGCATCAATTCTTCTTCCATCTTCCTTATTCATTGTCCAGCTTTCACATGCATATGACGCAGTTGAGAATACCATGGCTTGGGTTAGGTGTACCTTAGTCCTCAAAGTGACATCTTTGCTTTTCAACACTTTAAAGAGGTCTTCTGCAGCAGATTTACGCAATGCAATGTGTTATTTGACTTCTTGACAGCTACTTCCATGGGCATTGATTGTGGATCCAAGTAAAATGAAATCCTTGACAACCTCAATCTTTTCTCTGTTTATCATGATGTGGCTTATTGGTCCAGTTGGGAGGATTTTTGTTTTCTTTATGTTGAGGTGCAATGCATACTGAAGGCTGTAGTCTTTGGTCTTCATCAGTAAGTGCTTCAAGTCCTCTTCACTTTCAGCAAGCAAGGCTGGGTCATCTGCATATCTCAGGTTGTTAATGAGTCTTCCTCCAACCCCGATGCCATGTTCTTCTTCATATAGTCCAACTTCTCAGATTATTTGCTCAGCATACAGATCGAACAGGTATGGTGAAAGGATACAACCCAGACGCACACCTTTCTCGACTTTAAACCACGCAGTATCCCCTTGTTCTGTTCAAACAACTGCCTCTCGATCTATGTACAGGTTCCTCAGAAACTGTATGACATAATAAATGTTTGTTGTTTTAAACTGTTAAAATTTTGGGGTAATTTGTTTCACAGCAATAAATAACGAATACACCTGCTCTTTGGCACAATTTCTACTGTATGGAAAGTTCCACTGCAAGCCCTGATTTTGTCCTGCAAGTGGAAGGGAGGTGCTGAAGGTATCTACTGGTAATACCGACCACTTATCATCCCACTATCATCTAAAATATCTCCTTGGAAGATAAAGGGAAGGCTCAAGATGACCCTGATTGCAAATGCCCTGGAGAGCCAATTGGATTTCCTAAAGTTGGGGGTAAAAGGGGCAGAAGTAACCCAAAGCACTTGCTACACAAACTCTCACAGCCTTCTACAACCTTAGCAATATCTGCTCGGGCCTCAAAATATTTATTTTGGCCCAAGTGCAATTTGGGAACCTTTGTTCTCTATACAGCTTTCTGCTTACCGCTACATTGGCCAGTTATGCTGAAGGTAAATAATCAGTGATGGATCGCAACAGTCTTAACTCATTACGAACTGAGCACAAGTCAGTAGTAAATGCCCCCTAAGCTAACTGCAGCTAAGTCATTTGTGGAAGTAAAGAATCATGACTGAAGCAGGTGACGGTCTCCTGCCAGTCTGCCCTGGTTTGACCATACCTCCACCAGCACCATGTTCAGTGTGGAATGCCGCATTTTAAGAGGATGATAGCAAATGGAAATATTCCAGAATAGAGTGAACAAGGACAGCGATGGGCTTGAGGAAAAACTGAAGGAGCTGGGATGTTGTATCTGGATAAAAGAAAACTTGGAGTGGCGAACATAAGGTGAGACGAGATGATAGCTGTAGTCACAGATCTGAAAGGACTGTCATGACTTGTTCCGTGAGGTTGCCAGGTTAGAACTAGGAGCAATGGGAGGAAGCTTCAAACTACCAGTTTTGGCCAATTCTGACTCATGGTGACCACAGAACAACTATGTTATAACAAACCAGCTAGTGTTTACTAAGCGATGACTATGTAATAGGCATTGTGCTATTAGTCTCATTTTTACAGATGAGAGATCCTGGAGTCCAAGTAGTAAACTTGACCCAGAGAGTGGAGACCCACAGAGCTCATAGGGAGCCGCCAGTGTCAGGACAGGATACGTGTCAGGCCGACTGTGGAGCCAAGGTCTTAACCACTGCACTATATTACCCTCAGGTAAGGACCACCGGTAAGAATCAGAGCCGATTAGCAGTTAAATGCTCTGCTTTATGGATGGTGGATTCTCTATCCCTGGAGAGCTTCCAGCAGAAGTCAGTGACTTACTGTCATGGAAAGGGAAGTCTGACTCAAGGGCCTCTTGGCTCCCTGGCCCCAGCCCTGAGACTCTGGGATTCCAGGTAGGAGGCAGCAAGCCTGGAGGCTAAATGGAATGACTCCTCTCATTAACTCCCCTAGGGGCTTTCTCTTCATTTGCCACCAAACAACTGTGGTGAGGAGTTCAGAGGCGTTCTCTCTTTTTCCGAGCAGCAGCCACATGGAAGGCGGTGTGTGCAGCAACCCGATGCCAGCGAGGCCCAGTGTCAGAGCAGGTCAAAGCCCTCCAGCTTCAGCGCGAATGAGGGGCACCAGTGACCTCAAGCACTTTCTTCCCAGTCCGATTTCCAGCATGGAGTTTAGTTAGTTCGCAGACTGAAAGGTTAATCTGCGAATTCCAATGAGCCGCCTGCCAGCTCTCCCTCACCACCTGCCAGCCCTCCTTTTTCTTTCCAATAACAGATTGATCTGCTTACTCACTAGAACACAGGCATGAAGGAAGATGTCAGGGTTTTGTCACCTGCATTTTTATTTGTGCATCTCTCCTTCACAAAGGGCTCATTATGAGCATAATTTTTTTTCACACCTGACTACAGGGCAACCCCCTTCAGCCAGAATTTCGAGCTTGCCATCTATCTTAAATGGTTATTATTGGCTTGTTTCATTGAATTCTTGTTTTGAGGTTATTTGGGTCGTGTGGGGGTGGGTGGGTGGTCTGTGTGGGGTGTGTGTGGGGTGTGTGGAATGTGTGTGTGTGTGGGGGTGTGTGTGTGTGTGTAACTTGAGTTTGAAACTCTGGGCTCTGAAAACACCCTCTCCACAAGATGGCATGGCACATCCTATCTTGTAGGCAAAACAATGAATGTTTGGTGATTGATTGATATAAAGCATGTCTGACAAACAGCTTGGCTCTGTTGATGCTGAATGTATGGGACTTTGGTTTTAGTCTTCAAAAGATCTTAATTGGATTCTGCTTCTATCCATGTAGGCTACCTGCTTAGATACTCTTTCCCTTCCACTGTAGGAATGGAGCACCCCTTTCCTTTCTTAAAGCTCTAAACTGCTTTGCCTTCTTGTTCTTTTGTCATCTTTCCCTTTCATCCCTCTTTCCACAGGTTGATCACATTTCTCTTAGAATTAGTGAGCCAAAAGCACTTTTGTAAGACACTCTACACTAAAGCTGGTGAGTTTTTGAAGTTAGAGCATCATGCTCTAACCCGGGTATTTCAGTGTAGGCCAGGTAGCTTTGCCAGGAAGAAAAATACAGAACTATCACCAGAACCTCAGTCAGCATTCTAGGATACAATCAAGTGCTGGTAGCCTCAAATGGACCAAGTGAGAGTGGTGTGGAGAGTTCCTAAGAATTATATCCCTCCTACCAGAGGAATGGGAGAAAGATATGGCAGTCTGCTCCTGCAAAGATTACAGCCTTGGAAACCCTATGGGGCAGTTCTACTCTGTCCTATAGGGTCGCTATGAGTTGGAATTGGCTCGATGGCAGTGCGTTTGGTTTGGGTATCAGAGGGACAATAAAAATAGAACATGGAAGAACAACATCTTTTGTGTCTTTTTACATTCCAATCAGAATATGGCTGTATAAGGTTGGCAGAATCTGGTAGGACTGAAAGTTTCAGTTGATCCACTTCATTGCTCTAAAATGAGATGGTTTCTTGAGTCATAAAACATGAGAGCAAAACCATGCCTTACACCAAATTGCCCCCCCGGCACACCCCGACTCCAGTACTTCGAAATTGCCTGTTATATAATGAATGCATACCAATTCACATCTCCCAAGCCTCCTCAGGCTTAACAACCACAAGGACAGAGGGTTTTGAGATCTTAAAAACACTGGGTTAAAACAAACTTTTAAAGGTTTTTAAATTTTTTTCAGCAGAATTTCTCAGAGCTTTTATCATGCTAATACACATCATGCCATTCCAAGAATGGGGGAATATAATTTACAACATGGTCAACTTTTTTAACCAAAGAACCCTTTTCTTGCTAGAGCATCCCATGGGCTCACTAGTGGACTGTACTTTGGTGAAAGGGTTTGTTGAATAAATAAATAGTGAAGAGCAGTAAGGGACACCCTGACTCAATGGACTGCCTGAGTTGACTCAGCCTGCCCCAGTAGCCCAAACAGACTGGGCCAAACTCGAAGATGAGAAGATAGGGTGGAGTTTGAGACTTTAAGGAAATCATTCCGCATGCTTCTTCCCCCCAACATTTTTTAATAGACAAAATCCGGTTAAATAAACATCAACAATTATTGAGAGGTGTATTAACCAGATCTCTAGCTTTTACTTCTCATACCATCTTGGTTTATCATTTAATCACCTCATTGATCACTTGCTCCTTTCACCAGAAAACAGGAAAGAGATTAAAGAGCTATAGAACCTTTAGACAGCTTAACACATCACTGTCAAATTGATTCCGACTCAAAGTGACTCTATAGGACAGAATAGAACTGCCCCATAGGGTTTCCAAGGCTGTAAATCTTTAAGGATGTAGACTACTACGTCTTTCTCCAGTGGGTGGCTGGTGGGTTCGAACCTCTGACCTTCCGATTAGCAGCCAAGCACCTAATCGCTGCACCACCAGGGCTCCTTTTAGACAGCTTAGGACCATCTAATTCAACCAGTTGTGGTGACTTTCTCAAGGTTGGTTTGCAGCAAAGCCAAGACTGGAACCTTGGTCTCTTCCCTTGGCCCACTGTTCTTTGCTTTTGACCTTCATTCCTCTACAATTCTTTAATTCCTTAGCCTGGCTCTTTCCCACAGTATTAGGATACCTGATGCAGCCAGAGTCTATGGGGTCAAAACCTTAATACTTCTACTGTCCAGTAGTTACTGTGTTCAATTGGATTGGACACTTCAAAATGTCAACACGAGTGTTAATCCGTACATTTACAAGCACAATGTGTTGATGCAATGAATACTGTAAAAATGCTGCCACAACTGGAGTTGTGTTAGCTATCCAGGCTTCTCTTTACATCCCTGAGTATTCATTTAATGAAATCCTAACATCTTGTTAATGTTTCCCATGGCTGCCTTTCAACTCATTGAGAGTAGAGGCCTCTTGGAGTACTTTTTCCCTCTTTCAAGTCTCTGGAAACCCTGGTGGCATAGTGGTTAAGAGTTTGGCTGCTAACCAAAAGGTCGGCAATTCGAATCCACCAGCTGCTCCTTGGAAACCCTCTGGGGCAGTTCTACTCTATCCTATAGGGTTGCTATGAGTAGGAATCGACTCGATGGCGATGGCATATCTCAAGTCTCTGGTAGGTGAGACTATCGTCAAAAGCAACAAAAGAGTTGGCGGACGTCTAACTAGCCACGGAAAGGGTAAAGAAGTAGGATTTACCTTGCAAGGTGTTAAAAATGGCAAAAAGATACAAGAAGAGGATCCTCACAGGTCCCCAGGCAAAAAAGGCAAACCCCCAGGTGAGGCCGAGTAAGAATGTCAGGCTTGTTATGCCTTTGAGGTCATGCAGAATCATCTTCCTCCGAGTCTTCTGGCTGTGGGCTTTCACAGAATTAAGTTGAACAATAACAGCGCAGAACATGAAGAGATTCGTGATAAATATGAGGCAAAAATAAGCCACAACTGAGATGTAAAAGATAGAATCATCCTTAATCCAACAGCTGTAAGAGACAAAGAAGGGAAGGCCATTGTGAGGTAGAGAAACAGAAACTCATACTTTTTAGTGAGACTTTGAAGATCACCTAGTCAGTTTCATTTCACTTGAAGAGACTTAGACCCAGAGAGATGAACCGACTGGAGTTCACTCTGGGGGCAGAGTGTACCCTGGTCTTCTGACCCCCAGTCCAGGGTTCTTTCCAATGCCAAGTCAGAAATCCTAGAGGATATTTCTGCCCTCCATATGCAGAAACCTGTCAGCTCAATTCCTTAAGAGACTATTCTCTTCCTCAACAGTAGAAAAACAAATTATGTATTTTCCCCAAAAGTGGCTCCCCCCACTTCACACCTGAGCTTTTATTTGCAGGATGAAATCTGCTTTGCATGATAAATATCACAGGAAAAGGACATGAACAATGAATGGCTTTTCTGAAAGCTATATCAAACAATGATGAGATTATCAGAGTTAATGAAAGCGCAACAAAAAGAGGCCAGCTCTAATTGCACTGCTTTAAAATATGATGTGTATTTTAAACATCTCACCACAGCTACCGCTTTGGACTCCAAGAGGCAACACTGGTCACTGGCTTGATTAACGGCTACACGTTTTTCTATTAAAGAAGGAATATGCAGTGGTTCATACGAACAGATGCTTCATTTAATAACATTTCCAATTACTGGAGGCACTATCGCTGATTTCTGAACACAGACAATCACGACTAATTTAACTTAATGTCAACGTAGCTTACGGGACCCAGGAAATCCCGTTTGGCTATGTTATTCATGTTGGTGTGGGTAATTTCATGCATGTGTGAGTTTGTGTGTGTGTGTGTGTGTATTGTGTGTTGGGAGGGAGTAGAAAACAGCATTTAATTTCCCTAATATAGTCAAATACTTAGGGTTCCCTAAATATCATCTTCAGCCTTGAAGGAGGTTATAAAAAAATTCTTAAAATGAGGCAGCTGTATATGTTTGGATAGAGAATAATCTCCAAGAGATGGGCAAGGTGCCAAACAGTGTCTATCTATCATTTGGGTACCAAAGTGAGCAAAAGAATATCTATACGAATTTGAGTGTCTAATCATAGACCATCTTTGGCAGGACAGCAAAGAATTTGGAGAGAGAAACGTGGTAGCTGGGAATGGAGAGCGGGGCTTAAGTTTCATCCTCTACCTTTTTGTTCTTTTGAATTTCAGACCATGTACATGTATTACCTCTTCAGAAAATAATTATCTTTAAAAATCTCTTAGAGCAGTCTGCCTCTTACTAATCAATTCACATATAAAAAGGCTTTCCTTGGGGTGGGGGAGGGTGAGGGGAGTTGGTTTTGTCCTGATTTTGCTTTTGTTTTTGCTTTTGCATTTGGTCTTTGGGGAAGAATCACCATTAGATAGACACTGGGGACTCTTTAATCACAAAATAGGTGAGGAGGGAAGTCAGAAGGGGGAGATGAGAAGGAAGGGAAGAATAAAGGGAGGGAGAGAAAGGATAACAAGGAATTTTAATTAGAAAGCATCTGCTGAAGAGGGCAATATAATTTTGACCCTCCAGAAACTGTCATCTCAATATGAAAGATGGGACGGGGGGTAGGTCTTGGTGGCAGGACCTCCTGCATTTGATTCCAGTCCAGTAGGAGAGGAAATCTATAGTGGAAGAGAATTTGAGAGACAACGATAAAGAGAATGGATAGGGGTAAATAAAAAGTAATCAAAAGTGCAAAATGAAATTGTGCAGCCTAAAGGACTACCAGTAGCTATTTACACACCTGTAAAAGAAGGTTCTGGAGAGGTGGAGGGGAGTGAATTGTTACTCTCTTGTGACTGTGGAAGAGAGAAGCAAAGAGATGGGCTTACACATCAACAAAAAATAAAGAAACAAGAGGACAACAAAGCTGAGACAGTTTACAAAGGAAAGCTATGGGTCTTCGTCAGTGGACACCTTTGCTGTTGAAGGGCAGAAAAGGTTTTCCAACTTGTCTCAGTTATAGTGGCCCCTGCAACTCCTTCCAACATTCTGTGAGCTGTCATCATAATAGCTACCAGATGCGTAGCACTCACCATGGCACCATGCTAAGTACTTTATATACATGATCTCATTTTAATTGGCACACAACATGAAGAGAAAACATTATTATCTCCATTTTGCAGAGAAGGAAGTGGAAGTAAGAGGTGAGGTAACTTGCCCAAGGTCATACAGAGCCCAGGAGCCTAACCATTACGTGAGTGGAGCCACAAGTGTGTTTAGGCAAGAAAGGCTAAGGCTGAGTCTACCTGAAGCCGAAGTCAAGAGCAAACCCCAGAACAGGAACACCCCACCATACCCTGAAGGAGAAGAGAGTCACCCCTCCACCTTAGAGAAGCAGAGAAGCCAGTACTTACAATGGAGTCCCTGAGCTCAGAGTTCCATACAGATCTTTTTTCACACTGAGTATGATTGCCACCATAACAGCTGGGATTCCTAGAGTGAGTAAGGAAGCCAAAGACATCCCATTAGGAAACAGGGGAGGTACCTGATCAGTAATGTGGGCCCTGATACTCTAAAACACCGTTTAAATAAGCCACAGATGTATGGGCATCAAAATACCATTGTTGGTAAAATGTTTTTGAGTTCTTCCAAGTTAAACACGTCTAGGAGTTCTCCAATCTGCTCAACTAAACAGCATGCCAATGGCTCCAATGCAACACCCACTGGTTATTAAAAATAGCTCAAGTGCCAAAAATAATCAACTTGGCAATAGAAGTATGTCGTTTCTTGGGATGCAAGTTCTCATGGAGCATTTCTCCTCAGATGATGGGCCAGCAATGTTGTCTCCTTTTCAGTACTGCCCCTTGGTTCACTGTATCTTTTTGTCTGGGTCACCTTGAAGGAAGGGCAAAGGCAATTAGCTTTAGCCTTCACTGCTTTTTTGACAAGGAAGCTGTTTCCACACTCGTTACTAGTTTGACGTTTTGACTAGATCAACCAGTTAACGACCAGTCAATTCAGCTAGACTATAATAAAGCAATCAGTTCAGTCAAAACGGTCAAACGTGATGTGAGTGTAGACACAGGGTTTAAAAATCCAATTTCATGTATATCTGCAAAACCTACATTCTTTCTTTATTTCTAAATATGTGTTTCTTTGAAACTAATACACACACACACACACACATTTCAGGGGTTTTGTAAGATGCTTTCTGCTCCTGAGAGTGCCAAGTATCTTGAAAACCCCTCCACCATCCCATTCCATGATAAACAGGACAATCCCTTCAAATCTATACAGCCCACACCTAGCACAGTGCCTGGCATGATGGAGAGGTTTAAAAACTACCTGTTGAAGGTCGGAAGGAAGCGGTGGAGGGATGCCTCACATTTAGGATGGAAGTTGCGTGGTGGTCCTCAAGCTGTATTTACACTTTGATAATAATAGTAACAATTGATCCCTACTGGTTGGTTGTCATAATATGGACAAATTTACTGCCTCGGACAGGGATTTAAATAAAGAAAAGAAATGGAAAAAAAAAAAAAAACCCTTTTCAACAGGTTCCTTTAGCATTAGGAATGCAGAGCTTCAGACATATACAGACGCTGATATCGATTTTCCTTACCATTACTGCATTTGTCTGATACTTAATGTACTAAAACTCCAGTAGGGAAATGAGCACCCTGGCGACCTTGCATGTTTCCCCATAGTCCACGCAGGCAAAGGCATGAACCGAAGCTTATCTGAGCTTTGGCAGAGTGCCCTGTGATCTTCCGCCAACACAAGAGGACGGGAGGCCTGAGGAGCTGCTCTGAGGCCATCTCCCACTGGGCTCCCTATCTCCTCTGAGAGGCTGTCATGAGACAGTTTCTCATCACCTCCCAGGTTCATATGAGGTGTGGTGCTGTCTGCCCTTCCCTTTCAGACTGTTGTTGGCTGCTGTAGAGTCGGCCCCAACTCATGGTGACCTCGTGTACAACAGGATCAGGCTGTTGTGTTCCACAGGGTTTTCAATGGCTGGTTTTTTGGAAGCAGATCGCCAGGCCTTCCTTCCTAGTCTGTCTTAGTGCTGAAACCTTTCAGTATCATAGCAACACGCAAGGCTCCACTGACAAATGGGTAGTGGTTGCGCATGAGGTGCACTGGCCAGGAATCCAACCTGGGTATCCTGCATGGAAGGCGAGAATTTTACCACTGAACTACCACTGCCCCCTCCCCTTAGAATAGAGCTGAAAAATATAAAACCACACAGCTACAATCTAGAACTGACTCCTCAGCAATGAGGAATCCCACCAACTCAGGCTGCAGTCATCTGGTCTCTTTTGTTTGGGTATTGTTCCTTTTACTGTGTGGGACAAAGATCTCCAGGAGCTGGTACCTTTAACTGCTCTTCCTTTCACTGTCTATGTGATAAACCAAATCTAAAAGTGGCTCTTTTTATCTTTATCGGCTGAACTTTGACCTTAGTCTTGCCTTGTCTTGTGTGTGTACTTGACACTCCCCAGATTTCTCCTGCCTCCAAATACAAGCCATAGCCTTTCCTGCCTCTCCCTGTAACCCAGGAAGTGTGTGTGGAGTGAGAAGATCAAAGGGATAAGACCTGAGGCCTGGGAGACACTAGCATTTAAGGAACAAGTGAAGGAGGAGGGGTCTGCAGAGGAAGCTAAGACTGAGTGATGATGAAGGAGAAGGAAATCCAGGACTGAGTGATACAGACAGCCCTTTCACAATTAGCCATATGCGGTTATCCACTTTTTGGATTGTTCATGAAGCCTCTTCCACAACACTTTTTAATCCTCCCGATGAGTCAAGATGAGGGAAATGCCGAGCAAAAGGGCATACTGACTGCTTTTGGTTCTGTGTTTCGAATAGCATTGCAGAGAGCACTAAAACAATTTTTTGGATTACACTTTGTTTAGCATTTGCCTGTCTCTGCTCCCCATATTAGCATAGATAATACCACTGACTATGTATCCAGTGGAGCCCTGGTGGTGCAGTGGTTAAGCATTAGGCTGCTAACCAAAAGGTCGGCAGTTTGAATCCATCAGCTGCTCCTTTGGAAACCCTATGGGGCAGTTCTACTCTGTCCTATAGGGTCATTATGAGTCGGAATTGACTCGACGGCAGTGGTAATGGGTATGTATCCAATAAAAGCATGTACTATGGTAATGAACTCATTAAAAGGATGAGTAGCTAATTGGGAAGGTATTGTCTTTACAAAGGAGGTGAAAGGTAAAATCTATCTTCCTATGTACCCCACATAAAACACAACTCTTATGTATCCCCCGGAGTCCCTGGGTGGTACAAATGGTTAGGGCACTTGGCTGCTACAACAAGAGGTTGGAGGTTCAAGTCCGCCCAGAGGGCCTTGGAAGAAAAGCTTGGTGATCTACTTGAAAGATCAGCCATTGAAAACCCTATGGAGCACAGCTCTACTCTGCAACACATGGGAACGCCATGAGGTGGAGCTGGCTCAAGGACAACTGCTTTGGCTTTATGTATCCCATACATTTTCAGAACCCAGAATCTGTTTTGAATACAAATCAAACCCATTGCTGTCGAGTCTATTCTGACTCATATCAACCTTCTAGGACAGAATAAAACTGCCCCATAGGGGTTCCAAGGCTATAACCTTTACAGAAGCAGACTGCCACATCGTTCTCATGGAACGGCTGGTGGGTTCAAACCGTAGACCTTTAGGTTAGTAGCCGAGCACGTCAATGGGAAAAAGGAGCTGAGCTGACCATGTCAGTTAGAAATACAGGAAAGTAAGCCAATGAAATGCCATTTACACTGGGAGCTATTCATTCTGGGTTCCAGCCCTGACTTCTTCCACAAGGCAGAAGTGATATCCATTGTCAGGAGGAGGGGTGAGAGTTAGGTCAAGTCTGACCCAGCACCCTTTCACACATTTTAACTCTCCCTTAAACCATATCGCTGTATGATAGATGCTAAAAGTACAAACTATGGAGGTAGACTCCCTGGTTCAAAGCCCAGTTCTGCTACTTACTAGCTTTGTGGTTTTTGGCAAATTACCTAATCTCCCTGTGCCTCAGTGTCCTCATCTATTCAATGGGTATAATGATGGAACCTCTCTTATAGAGACATTGTTAGAGGTACATAAATGAGTATGTAAAACGCTTAGAACAGTATCTGGCACATGTAAGTGCTACCTAAGTGTTAGCTGTTATATCAGTAAGTATTTGTTGAGACTGTAACTTCTGTGAAGGGACAGATCATATCTGACAGTTCACTACTGTAGATCGAGAATTTAGCATAGTATATTTTAGCAGGTGCTCAATACATATTTGTGAACCAATTACCCACTGTAAAGGTTAAAAGTTAAATTTATAGAGAAAAATAGGCAGAAAAAAGATGCACACCCAAATACCCATAAATCAATCCTTATTTCCTTACCTATGATAATAATAGAATTTGCTCCTGAGTGATTTGTCTAATAGAGCTAGAATTAGAAAGATACACAGGCTTAAATCAGAGACATCAAGGACAATGGCAGATTTACTTACCCCAACCAACTAGACAAAATTTAAGGATGTAATTTGGGATGTATATATTGAAGACTTTGACTAGAGCAAAATACATGTGGACTGCCTCCAGGCCCATCCATGTCAAAGAGACGAGCAGGAAATAATGAAGAGCCACTGCAGCTGTGATACAAAGTCCCACTTTCTGAAATGATGCTGACCAGGAATTGACCAGAAACATCATGTTTAGCATCAGTAGCGCTGTGCACAGGTTGATCAGGATTTTGGAAGGATAATCTTTTCGAAGTTTGCTAACAGAAAACGCACAATGTTATGTTAGGTAGGATTTCTATTTTTAATCAAACATTGCCACATCTTCTCTGCCTAATAAGTGAATCTTCCACCCTTTCCCCAGGAAGAGTCGAAGTATCCCAAACATAACAACCTACACTAAAAAACTCACTGCCATTGAGTCGATTCCAACTCACAGCAACCCTATAGGACAGGATAGAACTGCCCCATAGGGTCTCCAAGGGTGTAAATCTTTTTTTTAATTTTTATTTATTTGTTTCTTTTTATTGTACTTTAGATGAAGGTTTACACGACAAACTAGCTTCTCATTAAACAGTTAGTACACATATTGTTTTATGACATTGGTTAACTATCCCAGGATATGTCAACACTCTCCTTTCTATACCTTGGGTTCCCCATTACCAGCTTTCCTAACCCCTCCTGCCTTCCAGTCCTCGCCCCTGGGCTGGTGTGCCCCTTTAGTCTCATTTTGTTTTATGGGGCTGTCTAATCTTTGGATGAAAGGTGAACCTCAGGAGTGACTTCATTACTGAGCTAAAAGGGTGTCTGGGGGACATACTCTTGGGGTTTCTCCAGTCTGTCAGGCCAGTAAGTCTGGCCTTTTTTTGTGAGTTGGAATTTTGTTCTACATTTTTCTCCAGCTCCATCGGGGACCCTCTGTTGTGATAACTGTCAGAGCAGTCAGTGGTGGTAGCCGGGCACCATCTAGTTGTGCTGGACTCAGTCTGGTAGATGCCGTGGTAGTTGTGGTCCATTAGTCCTTCGGACTAATCTTTCCCTTGTGTCTTAGTTTTCTTCATTCTTCCTTGCTCCCGAAGGGGTGAGACCAGTGGAGTATCTTAGATGGCTGCTCACAGGCTTTTAAGATCCCAGACGCTACTCACCAAAGTAGAATGTAGAACATATTCTCTATAAATTAGTTATGCCAATTGAGCTAGATGTTCCCCAAGACCATGGTCCCCACGGCTCTCAGCCCAGTAATTCAGTCCCTCGGGGAGTTTGGATGAGTCTAGGGAGCTTCCATGACCTTGCCTCATACATGTTGTACTAGCTTCCCCAGTATTGTGTACTGTCTTACCCTCCACCAAAGTTACCACTTATCTATTGTCTATTTAGTGTCTTTCCATCCTCACCTCTCCCCTCCCTCGTAACCATCAAAGATTGTTTCTTTTTGTGTGTAAACCTTTTCATGAATCTTTACAGTAGTGGTCTCATACAGTATTTGTCCTTTTGTGATTGACTTATTTCACTCAGCATAATGCCCTCCAAATTCATCCATGTTGTGAGATGCTTCGCAGATTCATCATTGTTTCTGATCGTTGCCTAGTACTCCATTGTGTGTGCATACCATAGTTCTTTTGTCCATTCATCTGTTGATGGGCATCTAGGTTGTTTCTATCTTTTTGCTATTGTGAACAATGCTGCACTGAACATGGGTGTGTATATACCTATTCATGTGGCTCTTATTTCTCTAGGTTATATTCCTAGGAGTGGGATTGCTGGATCATATGGTATTTCTATTTCTAGCTTTCTAAGGAAGCACCATATTGTTTTCCAAAACGGTTGTACCATTTTGCATTCCCACCAGCAGTGCATAAGAGTTCCAATCTCCTCGCAGCCTCTCCAACATTTGTTACTTTCTTTTTTTTTGATTCGTGCCAATAATGCCGGGGTGAGATGGTATCTCATTGTGGTTTGATTTGCATTTCTCTAATGGCTAGTGATCTGGAGCACTTCATGTGTCTGTTGGCCGCTTGAATATCTTCTTTGGTGAAGTGTCTGTTCACTTCCTTTGCCCATTTTTAAATTGGATTATTTGTCTTTTTGTTGTAGAGGTGTTGGATTTTCCTGTAGATTTTAGAAATTAGACCTTTGTCGGATTTGCAATAGCCGAATTTTTCTTCCCAGTCCGTAGGTTCTCTTTTCACTCTTTTGGTGAAGTCTTTAAGGCTGTAAATCTTTACAGAAGGAGACTGCCACATCGTTCTCCCACAGAGCAGCTGATGGATTCAAATAGCTGACCTTTCAGTTAGCAGAGGAGCGCTTGACCACCTTCCCACCAGGGCTCATCGTGACCTACACTAACAGGAATAAAACAGTCTCTCTCAGCTTGGCAGCCCCCCTTTTTCCTTTTTATTTTGGTGAGAAGGAGGAGGGAAGAGTTTCCTGGATACTGTGATTCTATCATCACTGCTTCAGCAGACTCAAGGCTGGATCTATATATTACCAACTAGTGGGATGACTATGAAAACCATTTCAAGTAGTTTTTTGGGTATTTCCAAAGATCCAGACATTTGGCATCATATAAATGTGACCTTAAGTTTCACTAAGTGAACACAATTTCATCTTGTTGAAATTGATCCAGTATTTTCCAAATTTAAAAAATTCCCCCTTCATTTCTTATTTACATTAAATATTTATTGATTTTGTGTATATGTGTTTTTTATTTCATTGATGTAAATAATAAAGTACACAAATCTCAATAATACAACTCGATGAAACTTTACGTATCTAGACACCTGTGGAGCCTCTCCCCTAGATCAAGAGATAGGATATTTTCAACACCTCACATGGCTCGGCAGGCCCCCTCCTATTCAATACCTTTCCACAAGAGGTAAGTAATATTCTAACTTGTCCCCATAGACTTAGTTTTGCATCTACTTGGAACTTCATATAAATGGAACCAAACAGTATGTTCTCTTTTTCTGGCTTCTTTTGCTCAACCCTATGTCTATGAGATTTATCCATGTTGTATTGACTCAGTAGTAGTCCATTCTTTTTCGCTGCTGTGTAATATTCATTTTATGAATAGACCATAATTTATTCATCTAGTCAACTGTTGTTGGGCATTTGGATTGTTCCCAATTTTTGGCTACTATGAATGAAGCTGCTATGAATATTCTGTGCATGTCTTTTAGTGGACATATGAACTCATTTCCAGTTGTTCCACATCCTTGTTGATACTTGGCATTGTAGGTATTCTATTTATTTTGTTGTTGTTGAGAATATATGCAACAGAACATAGTCTTTACTACAGTTTCCACAGGTACAATTCAGTGACACTGATTACATTCTTTGAGTTGTGCAACCATTCTCCCCCTCCTTTTCTGAGTTATTCCTCCCCCATTAACATAAACTCACTGTCCTGTAAGGTTCTTATCTAATCTCATTTGATCCCATACAGATAGATCTTGAAAGAGCACAATGCTCAAGGAAGACATTCTTTAAGAGTTAAGCTAAACTATTGTTTGGTTTTAAGAAGACTTCCGGGGGTATTTTTGGTTTAGGGTTTAAAGATTATCTCAGGGCAATAGTTTCAGGGGTTCATTCAGCCTCCAGCTCCGGTATTGTACGTATTTTTAATCTTAGTCTGGTGAGTGAGTAAGAGTATATAATTGTGGTTTTAATTTGCATATCACCGATGAGTAATGGTGTTGAGAACCTTGTCGGGTGCTTATTGGCCGTTTGAATAAGGGTTAGGGTTAGCCATGGCTTTCGTATCTTGTGAAGTGCCTGTTCAAGTCTTTTCTTATCTTTTAATTATATTTCTGTCTTTTGCTTTTTTATTTGTAGGAGTTTTTAATAATATATATTCTGTATACAAGTTCTTTGTCAGACATATGTACTGTGAATATCTTCTCCCAATCTGTGGCTTAACTTTTCACTGTATTAGTGGTATCTTTTGATGAAAGAAGTTCTTAATTTTAATGAAGTTCAATTTTATCAACTTTTTTTATGGTTAGTATTTTTGTATCCTAGTAGAGAAATTTTTTCCTATCCTAGCCCTCTTGTTTTTTCAAAAGTCCAATTATAATCTTTTTTTTTTTTGAAGAGCCTCGGTTGTTTTGTTTTGTCTTTTAATCTATCCACTTTGTAATCTCTAATGAATCTGACCTCTTCCTATTATGATTTGTTCATGAAATTAACAAGCTGACAATGACAACAGCACCCATCAAACAAAATTAAACTTACTCAAACATACTCAAAGCAAGATTGTGTCAACTTACTGAAAAACTATGTACGTCACTATTGCAATTCCCAGGAAAATGGAGGAGATTCCACATCCAGCATATGTTATAAGCACTAATATCCTTTCATTCACTGTGTCCACTGTAGACCTGGATAAATCCTGAGGAAAGCAATATATTGCATTTCATACATTCACTAGAGCAAGTTTATGGCAAAACACATCCAGTGCTCACTAACAGTAGATTCCCAGGCCCATCTCTGCTACAGCTTTTATAAGGCCAAAATATGAGGATAGGTATATGATAAGACTTTATATTGTTTGTTGAATAAGCCTAGTGCAATCTACTGTGTACAGTGCATGGAGGGCCATCAAAACACTGGCAGAACATTTAGTCCTTGATTGTATTGTCGTTAACATGTTCCACACTTAAAATATAACCAAGTTAATAGATGCGAATTTGGGGTACAAAGTGAATCATCTGTACTGAGCATCCCAAAACACTACACAGAACATAGGAAAAAAAAATGATCCTTTCCCTTAGACCTTAAATAACTGTCATAAAATTAAGAGACAACTTTCATAAAATTAAGAGACAAAATGAGCTTTAGAGATCCCATAGTCCAGTAATTTCTTAACCTGAGCTCCTTAAGAGACTTGAAATGGCATGCAGAATTGTTTGAATATATGTGTGCATTGTTCTGAGAAGATCTATATCTTTCATAGGATTATTATAGAGATTCATGACTCATAAAAGGTTAAGGAACACTGGTCTACTCCAGTAGTTACCATCCAGGAGCAATTCTGCCCCTGTCTCAGGAACATATGGCAATATTTGGAGACTTGGGTGGGGAGAACAGGTTACTGGCATCTAGTGGGTAGAGGCCAGGGATACTGCTAAACATCCCACAATGCACTGGGCAGCCCCCACAACACAGAATTACCTAGCCCAGAATATCAACAGTGCCAAGGTTGAAAAACTCTGATCTACTCCAAGATTTCACATTTCAGAAGACAAAATCCAACCTGATCAAGATCATACAGCCAGTTGGTGACAGAGCTAGAAAATGAACCCTGGTCTTTTGACTCTTACTATAATATTCTAGCCAATCTAGAAAGATCTAAACAAAATTATTACAATTCAACAGGTATCAATTGAGCATCTCTTATTTTTTTTAACAAATATGGTACAAAAAAAGACATATAAAACAGACTCTCAGCCCTCAAGGAGCTTACAATTAGCTGCAAAAACAACTCACATACATGACACATGCAGATAACAGTATCTAATAAAGTAACTTAGGAGAACGAAGAAAGTACTTGCATGTGGGTAAGGAAGAAGGGACACATTTGAGAGCCATTACGAAGGACAACTCAGCAAGTCCCAATGTTAGGGGTAACACAGGGAATGAAGGTAATAGAATAGTTAACGATGACTCTAAGGTTTTAAGGCTGGGTATGCAAATTGATCAAATAACTGTTGTTAAGTACTGCAAGCATTTAAAAAATCTTTCATACATTGCAATTTGCCAATAACTATTAAATTTTTTAAATTTTAATGACATTCCCTGCAACCCAACAATTCTACTTCAATTGATTTATCGACAGAAATACTTACAGCATTTGGACAGTGCTTGAAGATAACTGAATAAATAAGTGTATTGTAACATTGTTCACAGTAGAGAAAAACAGTAACAACTAAAATGTCCATCTGTAGGGGATTGGTTACATTCATTGTGTTAAATCCAAACAATGAAAAACAATAACTTTATTTTAAAAATTGAAGTATTTGCCTGAAAGGTGTCATATATATTCCATAACCCATTGCCATTGAGTCGATTGCAACTCATAGTGACCCTATAGGACAGAGGTAGAAGTGCCCCGTAGGGTTTCTAAGGCTGTAAAACTTTACGGAAGCAGACTGCCACATCTTTCTCCCACAGAGCCGCTGGTAGGTTCAAACTGCCAACCTTTTGGTTAGCAGCCAAGTGCTTAACCACTGCACCACCAGGGCTCCTTGCTCCTATATATTATTAGGGGGAAAAAAAAGCAAGTGGTAAAAACAGTAAAAATAATTTGAATTTCAGTAATTTGATCCCATTTTTATAAAACAAAAATGTATATTGATATATACATAGGAAAAGAATCTGGAAGAATATACATACCAGACTGTTAACAGTGGTGATCTCTTGGGAGGGGAATTAAAACCTCACTGCTGTCAAGCTGATTCCAACTCATAGTGACCCTACAGGACAGAGGAGAACTGCCCCATAGGATTTCCAAGGCTGTGATCTTTACAGAAGCAGACTGCCACATCTTTCTCCCCTGGAGCAGCTAGTGGGTTCGAACTGCTGACCTTATGGTTAGCAGCTGAGCACCTTAACCACTGCACAACCAGGGCTCCAGGGAGGGGAATTACAGGAGACCTTTTCTGTAATGTTTGAATTTTTGAGGAGCAGACATCAATTTTATAAAGAGAAAAAAAATTGTCTGAATATGCTCTACTTTGGATTAAAAAAGGGAGGGGGTCTTGTTTCTACTTGCACATCACTTTTCTATAACTTAGTTCACACACACATTCCTTGCCTGTAGTCTAATAAAAAGGAGCCCTGGTAGCACAAAGGTTAAGTGCTCAGCTGCTAACTGAAAGGTCAGCAATTTGAACCCACCAGCAGCTCCCTGGGAGATAGACCTGGCGATCTGCTCCCATAGAGATTACAGCCCAAGAAACCCTATGGGGCAATTCTACTCTGTCACATGGGGTCACTATCAGTCGGAATTGACTCAATGGCACCTAAAAACAATTGTCTAATAAAAGTTGTCAAACTTCTATGGAGGAGTGATTAAGAGACAACTCACCATTAAGACTCCAAAATGGGTGAGGTGGTCACACTGACAGATTGTGTAATTTACGTTTGTCTCATTTACTTTACAGCCTGACGAATTCCATCCACCTAGCCCATCTGCAGGAGACAGAAGGGAATTTCAAAGCAATTTTGTTTTCTCAGAAATATTTAACTTCCAATTATATGCACCATTTGAATGTGCGTTATAATTAGTATTGTTTGTTAAGACAGCAAGATAAAGGTATAAGTGAACACAAATCAAATTAAGTCTAATAGGCTAAAGCGACTTTTTGGGAACTTCATAAATGGCATAACTTCTTTAGCTGTCATTGTCCCTGTTCTCGTACCATACTTCTACAGTCCAGGAGAGACTCTAATCATGAACAACAGTCCTGTCACCATGATGGAATGACAGTGTAAGGACTGCTTTTTAAGTAGCCAACAAATGGAAAACAGGCAGATCTAGAACTTTTTGAAGGACATGAAGCTGATACCTGGGCCTACTCTGTGGGGCTGGAATAGAATCTGAAACAATCGGTTCAATCCAGAAGTCAAATGGCCTCAAGTGCTTTGTGCCCAAGCCACATCCCAGTCTGGGGATGCTTAGGGCCAACTAGAGCCTTGGTCTACTTGACACCTGCCTATTTTCTTGCTCCTGAGCATAATCAGTGTTCTAGAACCTAGCCCTCAAGCCTTCATAACCTGTAGACTGCAGGTACTAGATCCAAAGTAGAACATGCAGGGTGGCACTAAACCAGAGGGTTTATCATAGGGCAGGCATCTAAGTGTGATCAAAATGTGTCCATCCAGGATAACTCCACAGAATCCAGAGGTCCTGGATCCACTGGGTGCACATGGAGGGGGGAGGGGCAAAGGGTGACCTAGGAGGAGCCCAGCCACTGGCATTAATGAACACACAGATCAACTTTTTGAGGCTGTGGGGAACTAAGCTCATCTCTTTACAGGACTCTTATCCTGGAAGACTTGGAGGGGGCAGGGAAGGACAGTTGTAGGAAAGAAGTAATATTCCTACACCTAAGGGAGTAGGATGGGAAGAGAATTCCCCTTTTCTCCCAGGGTTCCAAGGATACTGAAAAGGTAAAGTTCCCAAGTAGAGTTTCCATGGGTCAAGGACTCCTTACATAGCCACTCCTGGCATTCCAGGGGAAATTGATTCTATGTGGGAATTCTCTGCAAGCCTAAGAGGAACCTATTCCACAATCACCATCTCCAACCCCTTCTCTTATTGTCCCCAAAGACTCATACATTATCCAACCAGGAAGTCCCATCCCCCCCAAGGAAGAAATAAAGAGATTAGAGCCCAGAGAGGGTAAAATGGCCTGTCCCAAAGTCACACAATGTAGAAGAAGTGAGGAAAAAGGTAGTAGATGTTGCAAATCTCTGTGGAAAAGCCCAGATAAAGAGCCAGATATTCATTCCTCAACTTTCTCCAAACAACTTGAGGCTACTCAGCACTGGGCCTTCCAACTTTTTTCTTCCAACTTTGTTTACCCCTGAGTTATGTAATTTTTATAGTCTCCCTGTCATGGATTGAATTGTGTCCCCAAAAAATATCTGTCAACTTGGCTAGGCCATGATTCCCAGTATTGTGTGATTGTCCATCATTTTGTCATCTGACGTGATTTTCTTATGTGTTGTAAATCCCACCTCTGTGATGTTAATGAGGCAGGATTAGCAGAAGTTATGTTAATGAGATGGGACTCAATCTACAAGATTAGGTTATGTTTTAAGCCAATCTCTTTTGAGATATAAAAGAGAGAAGCGAGCAGAGAGACATGGGGACCTCATACCACCAAGAAAGCAATGCAGGGAGCAGAGCACGTCCTTTGGACCCGAGGTTCCTGTGCCGAGAAGCTCCTAGTCCAGGAGAAGATTGATGATAAGGACCTTCCTCCAGAGCCAAAAGAAAGAGAAAGCGTTCCCCTGGAGCTGACGCCCTGAATTTGGAGATCTAGCCTACTAGACTGTGAGAGAATAAATTTCTGTTTGTTGAAGCCATCCACTTGTGGTATTACTGTTATAGCAGCACTAGATAGCTAAGACACTCCCAAATAAGTCTCTTATCAAAAAGGAAGATATTTTTAAAATCTCCATGCCCTAATTAGATATAAAACTCATATAACATATTTTGGTCAATCAGAGGATGTGATAAGACAGTAGCTTCAGTACAACTCCCTCCCATTCAACTGCCAAACAGGAAGATAGTCAGAGGCAATCTCAGTGAGAGCCAAAGACAAGGATAACTAAGAAAAGTACTTACTGTTCTTGCCAAAGTCCCAAAAGGCACAGTGAACTTGACCATAATTCTGGAAAAAGATAAATCAAAGGTAAATACCTTTTCTTGCGATAGTTACCACACAGTGACAAATATACATAAGTATTTTCCTCTCAATGTTCTTCCAAACAGTAAACACACACACACACACGGACCATTTGTGAGTTGGTTTTAAGGCTAACCTCATCTAACTCTGGGTTTACATATGAGAAAACATCATGTCACTGCAGGGAGATCTAGTATGTGTCCTTTTAAATATGTGGTAACACTGGTATTTGACACCCCTTCTGGTGCAGGGTAGGTGTTCATGTTCCTTGTGGGTCTTTGGAATTTGGGGCTCACAACTGAGATCAAGTGCTATGGGTACTTGGTTGGGCTGCCTCCTACTTAGGCCTGTTGAGCATTCCTGAGGCCTCACCATCTCCTAAAATCTCCAGGGAACTGAGGGTTAGTTGAGGTGATTGGAGAGCTATGGCTCCAGCCCAGTTTGAGAGAACTTACCCATCCAACATGTTTCATTTGATATATATTTAATTCCCTCTCTCTCTTCCTTCTCATTTTTTTTAATTCCCTCTCTCATTCTTCCTTCTCTTCTTCACTTCTAGAATCAAGACCAGTGAAAAATATGCTGTACCATATGGTCGTTTAGATTAGGAATGAAGGAAGCTATCAAGGCTTCACACTGGATACATACTAACCAAAGAATGAAAAAGCAGCTCATTCTTATACTAAGGCTAAATTTGATCATTTAGTAATATATACTTTATGTTATGCCAGCTGACTATGGTTTTAGCCCTTTGGTGATAATTAATGCACATTTTAATGGTCTTCATGGAAATTCAAAGACTACAAATGTTCCATTATTTTGAATGAAGTTGTTTGCCTCACTCAAAAATAAATGGGATTAAATATCATTTGGTGTGATGGGACAACCAAAATATCAACCTGCCCCAAGTCTCTCCCCTGCCAATCTGTCACAATGCTAGAATGCCCACCATTAGTTATCCCTTTAGGATAAGGCATATTTCCAGAAAGCCCCAGTTACAACACACCTCTGCTACCTGGAATGGGACAGTCTTCATTAAGTCTTAGAATCACATCTGTTAACTAGCCATTTATTTTTGACAGGAAAATCCTGGCAGGTTTCTGAGGCCTTTTTATTCTGAGATGAAAATGGATGTGTTACCGGGCTTCCTTCAATGTGGTGCAGAGTGATAACCACTGGGTCAGCCAAGTTCTGAATGGATGTATCCGAAATGCTGGCACTCACAACATATGTGGTTAATGCTTTAGTGAAGTTTTTGATCTGTAGATGAAACACATAAAAGAAGTGGAGTTCAGGTCCTAAATTTCTAATTTCTTACATGTTGATAATCAATCTAGAATTTTGAAGTAGTACACACAGCATTAGGTACAGGGATGCAGAAAATAAAATTGCAAGCTGAGAATGAATTTTGAAAGGTCATTTAGCCCATCTCCCTGTCTTCACACAAGGTCTCAATTATGCCAATCTAGAACAATCCATTCATCCATACATACATCTAAACATCTATCCAACAAACATTGATTCATGCCTGCTACTCAGTACTGCATTAGCAACACAACAGAACTATTCTCTACTTTGATAACTCTCCAGACCCCAACATTTCACAAGTTACTACAGTTCTAATCCTCACCCATCCTTACCTATTTTTAAGAAGCCCCTCCTTATAAGGAACCTAAATCAATCATGTGTTAGTGATAAACCATTTCCTGTTCTACCCCCACTAGAGATGGAAGCCAGCTGACCAACATCCAACTTAGTACAAGTCTCTGAGGACAGCCATCTCCTCCCTAGGAGATCATGAGCTCTGAGGCCAGAGCACAGGCCTTGTGTACCCTGATGTCCTCTGTCTGGTTTACCACACAGCAGGTATTTTATCCAGTGCCCATTGGAAGCCAGGTACTCTGCTAAGTGCTTTCCTTACATACACTATCTTCAGTCCTCGCTGAAACCATGCAGGCATTTTTCAGATAAACTGAGGGTGGGAGAGGTTCGAAAACTCAGACACAGGTCACACAGCTAGTGAATGACAAGGCAGGGATGCTTAATAAATGTTGGTTTAAAGGAAGGGAACGGGAGTGCACCTGTTGAGATTTGGAGCTTGCTAATTAATGGGGCCAAAGTGCCACAGGCCAAGGCTCAGAAGGCAAGCCAGCTGGGAGACTGCCTCTTCTGGAGCACATGTGAAGAGACCAGAGACGGGGCAGGTGCAAGAAAAGAGGAAGAGAAGGCAAATCCTCTGGCGACTTGTCAAGAGAACCTAGAGGTGAGCCTACATGATGTCCCCGGGAGAGCCTGCCAGGCTACTTGTAGAAGATGTCAAGCCCTCGTATTTCTGAAGGAACAGTGTCCAGATCCCCACTCTGCCCCACCTGAGCCCTGCAGACACTGAGAACTGAGGAACTGTGAATGCAGCCTGGGATTTCCCTGGAAGCTACCCACTTCCTGTTCCGAACTCACTTTGTTCATCCAAAGCCAGCCTGATGGCTCAGTGCCCTCTTCTGAGTGGAATTCCCCTGGGGTAGGCCCTGGTGGTGCAGTGGTTAAGAGCTCAGCTTCTAACCAAAAGGTCAGCAGTTCGAATCCACCAGCCGCTCCTTGGAAACCGTATGGGGCAGTTCTACTTGGTCCTACAGGGTCGCTATGAGTCGGAATCGACTCGATGGCAATGGGTTTTTACGCGTTTTAGGCTGATAGAGGGGTAGACCAGTATCAACATGTGGTAGATAGGGCCCTGGCTAGAAGTCAAGGGACCAAGTACTAGCCTGAGCTCTCTTGTTCCTCAAAGTCCCCTTTCCCCTTCTGGGCCATTGGTGATATAAGGAAGGAAGGTAGACCAGATGATAGAAAGGACCCTCCCAACTTAGTCTAAGAGATATAGATTTCTGTAGCAGAAAGGCTAAAGGAGAAACACACAATGACTCAGGACTTCATTAACCTAGTCTCTGGCTTTATTTCACTTGCCTACAAAATGGTGGTCATGCAGGGAAAGAAACTAAATTTCTCACCCCTATACCCCCTTTTCAGGAGCCCTGGTGGCGCAGTGGTTAAGCACTCGGTTGCTAACTGAAAGGTCACTAGTTCGAACCCACCAGGCGCTCTGTGGGAGAAAGATATGGCAGTCTGCTTCCATAAAGATTTACAGCCTTGGAAACCCTATGGGGCAGTTCTACTCTGACCTACAGTGTCGCTATGAGTCGGAATCGACCAGACGGCACACAACAACAACTTATCCCCTTTCACTCTATGCTCAAGCCATCATTTACCTATTTCACCTCTGGACCTTTACACAAGCTGTTCCCTCTGCCTGAAACACTCCTCCCTATCCCCTTTCACCTGCTAACTCCTATGAGCCTGCAGGTCTCAGCTGAGGCCTCTGTTGTGCTAGGTCTTTCCTGATCTTGCAGATGGAGAGGCGCTCTCCTCAGTGCACCAACAGCACCTGTGCCATACTGGACTGGTCTATTGCCTTGTCCTTCTCCCTGAGCACTGCGGCTACTGGAGGAGTGGTAGGAGGAGGAGGTGCATGTTTTCCAAGAGTGGTGTCGTATCAACGATTTTTTAAGTTAATATGCTATAATGAGGAGCCCTGGTGGTGCAGTGGTTAAGAGCTTGGCTGCTAACCAAAAGGTTGGTAGTCTGTATCCACCAACTGCTCCTTGAAAACCCTATGGGGCAGTTCTATAGGGTCCTATAGGGTCGCTATGAGTTGGAATTGACTCGACGGCAATGGGTTTGGTTTGGTTTATGCTATAATGACAGCTCAGATTTTGATCAAAAGATGTTGGAGGAAGCAGTGTGAAAGCAAGGCTGTGAGACTCAGGGAAAAGGTAGCTAAAGGGGGCCATCTTTTGTAAGTGCCAAGGTCTCAGTCTCAGTTCACCCCCTTCAGTGGTAGAACCTTTAGGTCTCTGTTCTCCCTCACCAGACTATAAGTTCCACGAGGGCAGGCACCACATCTCTCTTGCTCACCATTGTATTTCCAGCATCCAGCACCATGCAGGACACATAGTATCTATAAGTATTTGCTGAGTGAATAAATGAACAAATTGTGTCACCTTCAACAGGCCCCTTTCCCTCTCTGGGCCTCAGTTTCCTCACTGGTAGAATGAGGAGATGGGACACGAGTTATGCGGGCCCTTCCAACTCTGAATTTGATGACAGGCTAGTTCTAATCCTCCTTCATCTGGCATTATGACGTCTGTAGGCTAATTTTGGCAAAGGTCTTCAATCCCTTTCAGTGGAAGGTGTGAGTGAATAAAAATTACTTATTAAGTGTGAAATCTATGCAAAACAAGTTTAGGTCTTATTCTATGAGACAAGCACAGCTCTCTGAAGAAAAGAGAGACGTTAAAAACAAAATAATGGCATCCTAGATGATATGGAAAAATTAGAAGCCTATCAAAGGGGTCAGAGTGCCAGGCACCACATTTTTCATTTTAATTAAAATTCTTGTTCACTAACTGGTTTGTCTTGGGTCCAGTCTAAATTTTTTACATTAAAAAGCCCCAATCAACATATATTTACTGAAAACACTCTGGGTACCTAGCCCTGTGCTGGGTTCCATGAGGAATAAAACATGTCTGAGCCATGACACATGCCACAACCTACTTGGGGAAACCAGTCTAGCAACTAGGCAGAAGTATAAGGCAAGAATACAAGCAGGGGGTGTGGAGCACAGCAGGGGCTCACGAACTCCAGGCAGGATTTCTGGGTGGTATTTGAGCTAAACCCACAGGAATAGATAGAATTTAGATAGACAGGGAGCAGCTAGAGAATTCCAGGGGATGGGAACATAGAGACATAGCTGAAGGTGATTACTCATGTGGTATATTTGAGTTGTCCCAGTAAAACAACCCCCAAAATAACTCTGTGAATATTTAACCATTAGAAATTCATTCCTTTGGATAGCCTCTTCAGAAATGCAAACACACCTGGGCTTAATGTATTAACCTCTTAAATACATGAGATTTGGAGTCAGATGGCTTGGGTTTGATGCCAAGCTATGCCACTTCTTAGATATGTGACCTTGGGCAAAATTACTTAACCTCTGTGTCTGGGTTTCTCATGAGAAGTAAATGAGATAATAAGAGTAAATATTAACCATCAATAGTAATCATCACCATCAACTTCACACAAACTCAGATTGCTACCTTCCCAACAGCTAGATGAGATAGGGTGGGTGGAAGGAATGGGTCTTTTGTTGAGCAGAGACTCAAGATAGGGTAATAATAATAGCAACGCAAAAACTTACATGGTACTTATTATGTGCCACAAATATTCTAAGCACTTTATATGTATTAACCACTTTAATCCTTGAACATCTCTATACCAAAAAAACCAAACCGGTTACTGTCGAGTTAATTCCAACTCATGGAGACCTATGTGTTTCAGAGTAGAACTGTGCACCATAGGGTTTTCAAATGGCCGCTTTTCCGGAAGTAGATCACCAGGGCTTTTTCCTGAGGTGCCTCTAGGTAGACTTGAACCTCCAACCTTTCAGTTGGCAACTAAGTGCTTACCTGTTTGTACCACCCAGGGACTCCTTAACAGCCCTATGAGGTACTATTATTACTCTCTTTTACAGAGTAGGAAACTAAGGCACATAAATGTTGAGTAAATTGTCCAAGGTCCTACAGGTATAAAATGGTATAGTCATGCTTTGAACTCAGCCAATCTGGCCCCAGGCTCCATGCTCTTAACCAACACACCATTTTGCCTTTCTATTTTAATTGTGGATGAGGACTGGAGCCCTCAGAGAAGGTTCTGTGGAGGCAGTGGGAAGCAACAACAAATTCTTGCAGGCAGGTGTCCTGCTGGACACCACCCAGCTTCAAAAACGTTTGGGCAGACAGAGTGGGTATGTTGGCTTTAAGGAGCCAGGGGATATTTGGGAGGAAAGCACTGACAAGCTGAAGCAGCCTTTCATCAGGAGAACTTGCTGTTCTTTTTTGGTTTTGAAACATCTTGAAGCCTCTGTTTGGTCACCAGATATTCTTTAAGGTCCTTTCCAAAGCTGACAGGCTGTGAAAATTAAAAACTGTAGAACATCATTTAAAGTAGACATTGATTCATGTTGAGGGCTGGGGGTTGTGCTAGAAGATTTGTGGAATAAATCAGAGAACATATTCTAAAATAAACAGAACATCATGAAAATAGCAAGAGTTCATAATTCAATGAGTCACTGTATGTCAGCCCATGACAGTTACTGGAGGCAAGAACTTACCTTGAAGAGTGAAGTTTGGCCAAAGAAATTAAACAAGATCGTCTGTAAGTTGTTAAGATGAAGTCTCTCCCTCAGTGATTTAGGCAAATATATAGAAGCCAAAATCTTCCCCAGAGGGTCTTCACTTAAGTAAATCTGCCATGAAAAGCCAGAAAAATGAAAACCGGTATCTTCACCCATCATAGTAAAGTCCTTCCCACCTTCCATCCCTGCCCCAGCCCCAGTGTCAGAGATGAATGGTAACTAACTTCATAAGCTATGCTACACCTTTCTCTCTCTCGTTCTTCCCCCTCCACCCACAGGCCAATACATGACTCTGGTACACATAGACATACACATACCCCACATTTTTTCCCCAAGGGAAAAACCCTGAGGTTCTCTCCCTTTAACCTGCTTCCACCTGGGTAATAATAGAGGTGGGAAAGGCAATGACAAACTATGTGATTTGTTCTGATTCTCAGAGATAAAGGACAATCTCTAAATCAAGCCACCTTCCCCCATATGGCTCTGGGAGGGAAAAAACAAAACAAAACAATAGCATTAGGCACTTTTCCCATAGTTTATGGAGCAATGTTAATGTCACTGAATTGCACATATAAAAAAAGTTGAAATGGCAAATGTTTTGTTACATATATATTTAACACAATTATAGATAAATAGATAGACATAGGGCAGCAGAGAAGTGAGGCACTAGCCCTTAGCAATTCTTCTAGAGGTCCACTTTCATAAGAATATGCTGATTTGACTGGTGTCTTAGGCTGGGTTCTCTAGAGAAGCAAAACCAGTAAAGCGTATAAATATATATATAGAGAGAGATTTATATCAAGGAAATGGCTCAAGCTTTTGTAGAGGCTGGAATGTCTCAAGTCCATGGGTCAGGATAGAGGGTTCTCTTGATTCACACAGCCACAGGGGCTGGTGAACCCAAGGTTGGCAGTTCAGAGAGCAGAGCTCTTGCTTACAGGCTGCAAAGATGGACAAATCCCAAGATCAGCAGGCAAGACCACAGGTAAGCTGCTAGCTCAAGTCCCAAGAACTGGAGTCAGACCAACAGGAGTCAGCTGCAAGATCCAGAAGGAGCAAAAGCCCCCGACCCTTGCCAGAATGTCCACTTATATTCTATATAGGCCACACACCCAAGGAAACTCCCTTTCAACTGATTTGGCTGCTCACAGCAGATCCCATCATGGGGGTGATTGCATATCAAATTTCAACAGGGAAGTACTCACAACATTATACAACTGCCAAAACACTGAGAATCATGGCCCAGCCAAGCTGACACACAATCTTAACCATTACAATTGGTAATAGTATTTAATAAGTATCGGAACATTTTTGAGAGCGAAAGAGGGTTTTATCAATAATTACACAGGGACCATAGTTGTAAACAAGGACTCTCCCAGGCAAAACAGGTTGTATGGACACCCTTGCATGCATCTCTTGTTTAAACCCTCTATCAGTTCTGAGAGGTATGTTGTATTATGACTACTTAAAGTGATATCAGGAAATGGAGGCTCAGAAAAGTTAAATGATTTGCCTAGGATCACAAAGCTTGGACGTGTTTGAACAAAGATATAGACCAAATCTATGTGATGTTGGCCCATGTCTTTCCTATTACCCATGCTGCCTCTCCAGGAACTATTAGCTAGCTGGGTGTGTTGTAGGGCAATGTAAGATTATAATACTTCTAAAAATGACTTGTGAATCTAAAAGTCATATGGCTCTTCTGGCACAAATTAACTCTGCTAGGGCAATTGAGTACCATGGAGAGGTTATGACTTGGCTTCAGTATGTAAGCAGTTTGGTATCAAGAATATGGTTGGGGTTAGTTGGTTTGTTTCTCCACCAAGGTTTATAATAGAAAACCCAGAAGTAAACAAAATGCAATGGGAAGTCAACTTCTGCTTCCAGTATGGCTGAGTAGCTCCAACTGGACTTGACCCTCCTTCAGAAAACAACTATAAACTCTGGACAAAATACAAAATAACAATGACTTGAAGGCACTGGAGAATGAACAAAAGCAGGCAGATTCTGGAGAGCAGTGAATACTTGGAAAAAGGGAACGTCACAAGATGAGCTACCCATTTTGACAGCTTTTTGCCTGACGGTAGGTGTGATCATTAAGGTTGTGTGTCACCTTGGCTGGGCCATGATTCTTAGTGGTTTGGCAGTTATGATGTAGTTTGGCAGTCATATGATGATGTGATCACCTCCGTGATGGGATCTGCTGTGAGCAGCCAATCAGTTGAAAGGGAGTTTCTGTGGGGATGTGGACTGCATCCAATATAGGTGGACTTTCTGGCAAGGCTCGGGGGCTTTTGCTCTCTCTGAATCCTGCAGCTGGCTACTCTTTGTCTGACCTCCAGTTCTTGGGACTTGAGCTAGTAGCTTACCTGTGGTCTTGCCTGCTGATCTTGGGATTTGTCGGTCTTCACAGCCTGTGAGCAAGAGCCCTGCTGTCTGTCCTACCTATCTTGAGTTCACCAGCCACTGTGGCTACGTGAATCAGGAGAAGCCTGATTTTTACCAACTTCTGCAGTCTGAAATTGATCAAACATGCAATCAAGACACATTGATAATTACTGGTGACTGGAACACAAAAGTTGGGAAAAAAGAAGAAGGATCAGTAGTTGGAAAATATGGCCTTGGTGATAGAAACGATACCAGAGATTGCACGACAGGATTTTGCAAGACCAACGACTTCTTCATTGCAAATATCTTTTTTCAACAACATAAACGGTGACTATAGACTAGGACCTCACCAGATGGAATACACAGGAATCAAATCGACTACATCTGTGGAAAAAGACAATGGAGAAACTCAATATCATCATTTGGAATAAGACCAGGGGCCAACTGCAGAACAGATCATCAATTGCTGGTATGCAAGTTCAAGCTGAAGCTGAAGAAAATTAAAACAAGTCCACGACAGCCGAAGTATGATCTTGAGTATATCCCCCCAGAATTTAGAGACCATCTCAAGAATAGATTTGATGCATTGAACACTAATGGCAGAAGACCAGATGAGTTGTGGGATGATATAAAGCACATCATACGCGAAGAAAGCAAAAGGTCATTAAAAAGACAGGACAGAAAGAAAAGACCAAAATGGATGTCAGAAGAGACTCTGAAACTTGCTCTTGAATGTAGAGTAGCTAAAGCAAATGGAAGAAATGATGAAGTAGAAGATTTCAAAGGGCAGCTCAAGAAGACAAAGTATTATAATGCAATGTGCAAAGACCTGGGGTTAGAAAACCAAAAGAGAACAAAATGTTCGGCATTTCTCAAGCTGAAAGAACTGAAGAAAAAATTCAAGCCTCGAGTTACAATACTGGAGGATTCTATGACCAAAATATCGAACAAAGCAGGAAGCATCAAAGGAAGATGGAAGGAATACAGAGAGTCACTGTACCAAAAAGAACTCGTCAACATGCAACCATTTCAGGGGGTAGCATATAATCAAGGACCAATGGTTCTGAAGGAAGAAGTCCAAGCTGCACTGAAGGCATTGGCAAAAAAATAAGTCTCCCGGAATTGACGGAATACCAATTGAGATGTTTCAACAAACGGATGCAGCACTGGAAGCACTCAGTCATCCATACCAAAAAATTTGGAAGACAGCTACCTAGCCAACCAACTGGAAGAGATCCATATTTGTGCCCATTCCAAAGAAAGGTGATCCAACAGAATAAGGAAACTATCAAACAATATCACTGATATCACACACAAGTAAAATTTTGCTGAAGATAACTCAAAAAACAGTCGTAGCAGTACATGGACAGGGAATTGCCAGAAATTCAAGCTGGATTCAGAAGAGGACATGGAACCAGAGATATCATTGGTGATGTCAGATGGATCTTGGCTGAAAGCAGAGAATACCAGAAAGATGTTTACCTGTGTTTTATTGACTTTGCAAAGGCATTCGACTGTGTGGGTCATAACAAATTATGGATAACATTGCGAAGAATGGGAATAACAGCATACTTAATTGTGCTCATGAGGAACCTGTACATAGATCAAGAGGCAGTTGTTCGAAAAGAACAAGGGGATACTGCGTGGTTTAAAGTCAGGAAAGGTGTGCATCCGGGTTGCATCCTTTCATCATACCTATTCAATCTGTATGCTGAGCAAATAATCCGAGAAGCTGGACTATATGAAGAAGAGCGGGGCATCAGGATTGGAGGAAGACTCATTAACAACCTGCAATATGCAGATGACACAACCTTGCTTGCTGAAAGTGAAGAGGACTTGAAGCACTTACTGGT